CGGCACCCCGGTTGGGAAACACTGCCTTAGAGGGCCTCCAGGAATGAGGCTGTCGCTTCACATACCATAACCATATGCATTTCATATATCAGTACAGAGCAATGTAAATCTGTTTCTGGTAGTGCTGAAAAATATATCTTGATACTTTTCAGTCTTTAAATGAGCAATATCACTCGAGTACGAGAGCGAATACCGGCTCTATATCAGCGGCTGTGATTAGGCCAGAGGCACGAGGCCACAGGCAATCACAGCCGCTGATACAGAGCCGGTATCGCTCGAGTCTGAGGGTGATATTGCGTTTATACAAAAGTTAGACGGCACGAGTGTAAATATAGGCTATAAGAAAAACAACAAATACTTCCTTCCGCCACACATTCAAATCTCAGTTTGACAGTTTAATAGCTGAGCTGAAGCCTCCGTTACTAACTCGAAAACTTCACTTTAGAACTAGTAATGAAGGAACGTTGAGTTGCTTCATTAAAAGCTTATTGTATCACTGTATTAAAAGCTCACTGTATTATGATGAGTAGAGTATTGTGAGAGAGAGATGGACTGAGCGAGTGTGATTACCTGCATCTGATACAGCATTCATTCTTCAGCTCAATCTCATATTCACAATAAAACATTAGTTTGAATGTCCGCTGAGGAAAGCGATATCTTTGTCGTACTGCCCTTTCATCTGTTAAGGGTGATTTCTGATTACAGCTCTGCTCAGTGCTGTTATTAAAAGTAAAAATAACTTCCGTTTCAGTCTTTCAATATAAAAGTCTTAAATGCTGACTCGTAAAACAGTCACTTGTCACCATCTAATGGCAGAACAATGTCACAAAAATCACCATCACGAACACACACACTGTTTCCCAATACTAAATACTTCTATGTATATAAAATATTATTTATTGAATAATAAACAACAACAACAGCCATCATAAAAGCCATGCTTTAATATTCAGCATTAAAGTTACGTAAAATATAACATGATGAGATTTTGCCTTCACCCGAAACTATTTGCTTTGGAACAAATAATAGATTAATGAGACCAAAGACTGCCCATCAGATTTATCCAAAGCGAATTGTATCTCATGTTTAACCACTATAGAGACATCAGAGCCAGCGGCAAATTCCAGAAGATCTGGCCGAGGTGAGGCTGCTCTCGGCAGGTTCATGAGCGCTGAACGGCCGCTGATGACCTGGAGCTCACGTCTCTTAAAACGTCGAAGCAAATTTTCAAATAGACGTTATCTTTATTAACAAACCATATATTTGAAGTACAAGTACATTCTCGCCTAAAAAAACCTCTTAAAACTACATTCCGTGACACAAAAACAGTATTATTTTAAAGTTTTAGTGGAGTTGGGCGTCCGCCCAAAATACAGGAAGCGGAGTGATACAAACGGTGAAAGGGCGTTCCTGTGGCGATACCAGTACAATAATATCTCACGGTTCTCAACCAATCAGATTTGAGAACCAGAACAAACTGTTGTATAAAGGTCTATATTACTACATATAGCAGCACTTCAATGATTACATTGGTTTGGGATGGGATAATGAAGTTATAACAACATTTCTTCTACATGCATATATATTATGTTAAGACCTTTAAGAATTCAAATAATAGAAAAAAAAAAATTTTAATGACATTTTAACAACTTAATGTTGCTTGAAGGGTATATACTAATACAATATAGTAATATTATAGCCATTAATGCAGATTCAAAATATTTAATGTAAGAACTAAATTACAGTGAAAAGGTCGTTTATAGAATCAGTGATTTCCACTCTTGCTATTTATCATTTAATTGTTTAATGTATGCACGCATTTAACAATGCTTACAGGGATGTGATTTTTCTGTATTTTTCCATATTTTGTGACTTGAAGTGCTGTATGACCCACATGAATTGCATAAATCTGAGGAATTTTTTTTCTTCTGCAAAACAATGATACCTGTCAGCGGCTCTGTTCAGTTTACTCGCTTATAGCATGCATTTCAACATTAAACATGTGCAAACCATCTTCCCAAAATTGTTATTGTAAAACATTTATAAATCTGTTGTCAATGAAACTTATTATTAAATACTCTTTTATAATTTTTTTTCTTTTAAATCTTTTAATTTTACAATTCAATAGCGTAATAGCAATAGTAATATATTTCTTTGATTTTTTTTTAATGTTTTAAATAATCAATAATAATTATTATTATTATTATTATTATTATTATTATTATTGTTGTGTAGTCATTTTGAATACACAAAACTGATCACATGTCTGATAAAAATTACCTAAATATATTTTTACTAAAACATTAAACAATCCTATTCCTCTCTTTCCCACACATACATCAGCGTTTCCCATGGGGTGACGGCACCAAGTCTCTCTTCCACAACCCTCACGTCAATGCCCTCCCTGACGGCTACGAGCATCATGATGAGTGAAGGCTTTTAGGAGCTCTACCAGAACTCCCCTACAGGGACCAGAGATTTCCCTGGACATCTGTCCAGGGCTGGACCACTCCTCAGTTTCTTTCAGTTTACATGACATCTGTCCAGTATGTTGATTTTACCTCTGTGCTTTCCACACCTAGTGGAAATACCGTATGAAAACCGTTACATTTGCTTAAGGACCATGTTATCACATTGTCTGCTTAAACTGAAATTAAAATCTATTCATTAAATTATAAACCGTGTTAGAAGTCTCATTTTTGAAGAGAGTGACTGAGTGGGTCAGATCCTGAGATACATCATTGTGTTTTACTTGTTTAAATGCTGTATTGAGTGAAGAAGAGAAATGCATTAAAGAAACACGTTTTTAAAAACTGCTTAAGGATTTATGAAGTGTGTGTAAAATTATATTCATAGGTGCATGTGACTTAAAAATATGTAAATAAAAAATATATGTTGAAATATACATAAAATCTGTATGTATACTACTATCCCTTCCCCGAAAAACGCAAGGCTAAAATGGATATCGAAATGAAGTTTGTTCCTCCAGGCTCGCCGTACTGTCAAGACACTCTCACATGACTACTCTTGTGACACGCATTCCTTCTCAAAAACTAAATATAGAATAAACACTAGTACCTAAAGAATAAGCACTAGTAGCTAAAGAATAAGCACTAGTACCTAATGAATAAGTACTAGTACTTAATGGAAAAGATACTAGTATCTAAAAAATAGATACTAGTACCATGAAAATAGATACTAGTACGGCTTATAGATTAAATGTTACAAGGGCTTTCCATAGAACGTGCATGTCTACCTCTGTATTTTTAAACTGATGTGTGAATTCGTGAACTGGAATGTGTGAATACTATTTAAACACATTGCTTTGTATGTTTTGTACTTGGGAGTTCTAAACGAAATTGTAAGGAGTAACAGGCGTAATATTTGCTTTGAAAATGTAATTGAGTTAAAGAACAAGCATTCAGTTTCAGTAGTACTCCAATGAAGTACAAATACTACAAATAAATATAGTGAAGAAGTTTCCACTTCTGTGTGCATTTCAGAGAAATCAAGAACATGTGAGCATTTGTGCAACGCAGTTACAGTAATATCGACAGTAGTCGAAGTTACTGTAAGTTTTATTATTAACGTAGACATTTATAGATCTATAATTTTATTATTATGATTCAATCTTGACTAGGGGTGCTCCGATCAGGATTTTTGAGGCCGATCACAGATACCGATCTTTTTAAAACCGCCTTTTTATCATGTAGAATTATTTATAGAGATGATCCAATCAAGATTTTTAGACATTTATTCAGGGCCTAAATTTAATTTTTTGAAAATGAATTCCTCTTTTAGGTGACTCTTGTGAGAGGGGATTTTTTTATTTGAGGGGTGGAGGGGGGCATTTTTAGACATTCTTCAAAAAATATATATTTAACTCACCTAAATATTTGATCATGCACTGCATTTTTGGTTTTTTTTGATAGGTGTACATTATCCAAAATACAAGTCCATAATCCATAATTATGCTTCCTCCACTGAAAAAGTCCATCCTATGTTTTCCTCTCACATCAAAATCCACAGACAAATTTGTTTAGAACTGTTTTAGCCTGTTTGCCCGTGTAAACGGTGCTTGGTCTGTGCATAATTCTCTTCTAATGCAGACAAGATGACTTTTTACATTGAAGAAAGCAAAATTATGGATAGAAGACTCATATTTCAGCTGGAAGCAACAATTTAATGTCAAGAAGACACATTAATGATTGATTTGTTTATTACAAACATCCAGCTTTTCACTTCACAAGACATTGAATAATGGACTGGAGTTGTGTGGATTACTGTGATGTTTTTATCAGCTGTTTGTACTCTCATTCTGACGGCACCCATTCACTGCAGAGGATCCACTGGTGTGAGCAAGTGATGTAATGCTAAATTTCTCCAAATCTGTTTCGTTAACAAACAAACAAACTCAACTGCATCTTGGATAGCCTGCAGGTGAGTACATTTTCATTTTTTGGTGAACTATTATTTTAATAAGATTGAGTCTCTTTCAACAGATGCAACCAATGGCTGAGACAGCGGCTTTGACTGATTCCAGACGGTGAGAATAATATTCAGTGTGCAAATCTTTACATTCTTTCTTTAAACAAAGTGATATATTGTGGCTCTATACAACATGTATGCAGCTTCCTAAGATGTCCTTTAGAAAAGCATCCCTTACAGTGTGACCCATCAGTGCAGTCATGGAGAACAGAATGCTCACTGCCCAGTGCATTATTACATGCTTAGAGATATTTTCATGCTTAACATCAATGGAAAACACTTCTGTATCAATTTCCTCAACTTTTATCAGTAATACTGGAAGGCAAGAGGGTTGGCTTAATGGCTAACTTTACTGCTTATGTCTTTCATCATATTTCCGAATGCAGCTTCTTCTTCCTGTATGATAGTTTAAAGGTGCAAGAGGAGGGAGACCTGACTAGAGATGGGATTTACTACTTCTCTCCTGAGGATGTAAGACATACGTCCTGTTTAAATTGATGTCATTTGTAAAGAAATGTATTCATGTCATTTGTAATAAAAATGATTTATATTTTGTTTAAAGCATGAAGAAGCAACTGCACCTTCCATAACAATATTATGATGTGGCTGTTTTAAAAGACGACCTTCGTAATACTTAATATACATATGCATGATGGTGTGTGTGCTGTTGCAGACACCAGTAGACCAACAAGAGCTGCTTTGTGGACAGCTTGCCGGTGTATGTCGTTGTGTGTCTGAGATGTCTTCATCTCCTGTACGCCTGTTTCGCCTGCGCAAAAGCAAATATGCTGTCCGCATGAAGGATAGCTTTCTTTGGGTAAGAGAACATTTGTCTTTGGGAAATGACATTACAAAACCTAATTTCTTGGTGCCTAGTTCCTCCTGACTTAAATTGAGCAAAGGTTTAGGAACAGAGCAATACAAACTTAGTTCGACTGCAAGGAAGACCTTGTGCACTTTTTTTTTTGGTGGTTTCACAACTCTTTTGAATGGGATCTTTCTCTGGTTTCCAGGCATTAAGCTGTGTGGTTGACATTCCTGATGTGAGTGTGTGTGACTTACTTGATCAGCTGATTGCCCTTTTCTGTTTCTACAATGGACCAGTGCGTCAGAGCTACCAGGTGCAACATCACAGTCTACAGTGTTCTATTCACTGATTATGATTTAACATGAGTATATTTGTTTAAGGTTTGGGGTCAGTAAGTTTGATTCACACTTTTATTCAGCAAGGATGGATTAAATTGATCAAAAGTGACAGTAAAGATATTTATAATGTTACAAAAGATTTCTATGCCAAATAAATGCTGTTCTTTTGAACATTCAATTCATCAGTCCTGACAAAAAAATTATCATGGGCTCCACAAAAATATTTAATAAGAATTTTTTCTTGATCACCAAATCAGCATATTACAATGATTTCTGAAGGATCATGTGACACTGAAGACTTGAGTAATGATGCTGAAAATTCAGCGTTGACATCTATATTAAAATAGAAAAGAGATATTTCTAATTCCAATAATAATTTGCAATATTACTGTTTTGCTGCGTTTTTGTCTATATTTATTCATTTGTATTTATTAAGTTTAGTTCATTTTGTTTTAGCTATTTTATTACTTAATGTTAAACAAAACAAAAATGACAAATATTGCACTGGCAACTAACTAAACATTTTTTTTTTATATTTTATTTTCAGTTAAAGTTTAAGTAACGGAAAAGGTTTTATGGTTTTAGTTAGATATAATAACCCTGCTTCATTATACAAAAAATACAATCTTACAGACCCCAAATTTGTGAACGATACTTCATATCTATTAAAAGTTAATACCATATCAGAGCAATTCCACATATATGTTGTGTTTTGCTGCACTTCAACACAGTTGTACAGTAAGGAGGAGTTGGCTTTACGATGGGCCAGATATCTCTGTCACCTGCAGGGCGGCTCCACTGAGCTTCACAACATCTTCAGCTGCCTGAGGACCATTGACTCCACACATGTAAATATGAGTGGAATTATTATGTGGAACTATTAGATTTTAAACTTGCTATTACGTTTAACGTGTGCCACAAAATTATGCATTCAGTCAGTACTGCAACAGCAAGCCTTGAGCAAAGTATCCTGTCCTCATGTTTATTGTGAATCATTTTCACAAACCTGTTTGCGAATGGTTACTTCTCCTCACTCCTGCATCAGATTGATCCTCTGCTGCTGCTGAAGGCTGCCCTCATTCTTCAGGCATGTCAGCGATGTCCTCTGGTCCTGGCAGGTTGTATCCTCTACAGGGGCAGGTGAGCTTCCACTGCAGGAGAAAATTTGTTTACGATAATTAATATTTATTCCAAATATTGATCATGTATCTGTAAGTGGCTAAAGCAATTTAGAGTGACAATCCTCTGTTCTACAGGGTGGTTAGTACTCAGATGCCTCCTGTGCTGACAGTGAAGGTGATGGTGTATGAGACGCAAACATACAGCCAGGTACAGTCAAGTTTCCTGCTGCTGCATATACTGTATATATATATATATATATATATATATATATATGCTTATGCTTATATCCTTGTGTATTTCTCCCTATGTCTCATTACAGGATTGCCGGGTGACGGCCAATGGCCTGAGCTCATCTGTGGGCTCACTGTCCTCTTTCACAGCTACCACACAGGTGTTCTTGACACGCACTGAACTGTACATGCTCCGCTGCCACCCAGTGGATAGAGCATGCAGGTACAAATCAAGAAGTGTATGCATTACTAGATATTTGCATTTTGTGGATACATGTATATACTCTACTGTTTAAAAGTTTGGGATTGTTAAGAGTTTTTTTATGTTTTTGAAAGAAGTCTGCATTATTTGATAAAAAATACAGTAATTCTTCTTCTGCTCTGGAAGTCTATGGCAGCCCATAGAACCGCTTGCGGGAAAGTTATGAAATTTGGCACACAGATAGAGGACAGTCTCAATATTAACCATAGCAAATTTGGAGTCTCTATCTCAAATTTCTCTAATTATCTCAAAATTTCTATGGGTCAAGGTTTTTAGCAAATATGAATTTTGCGAAAAATCTACTTTTTCGAACTTGTCCTTGACAGTATGTCTGATTTTCACCAAAATTGGCTCAGATCATCTTCAGACAATGCTGGCAAAAAGTTATCAAAAGACTTCCGATAGACCAAACTGTTCTCGTAAAGCATGTTAACGAATTTGACGAAATTCGTGCAAAAATTGACATGAGGCTGTAATTTTTGCAACGCTTTAGCAGATTCTGACCAAACTTGGTAAATGTAACAAACATGACCTGAAGGCACCTGAGTAGTTTCGGCATGGCGCCACCTACTGATCAAAACATATTAAAAAATGACATTTCTGCTTATAACTTCTGACCAGTTTGGCCAAAAAGACTGGTCTCATTAGATTCGGAACGGCTTACTGACCCCAAACGTTTGAACAGTGGTGTCTTTACATATTCATTGGTATTTATAAATATTCTCATTCTTAGGTCTCACTGCAATCAACCTCCCTGCCAACCCAGCAAGTCCCGCCTCTTATCACGCACTTTATCCGACACCCCAACCACAGATACTGACTCTTCAAGCTTAGATCCCATGCAGTGTCCCCCAACGTCCTATCAGACGATGCCGTCGTCTCCTCGCTCCTCCCTCTCTGATGAACCGTATTTCAGCCCCTCTCCCTCAAGGGTTAACACTCCCCTTCACTCCAATCTCATGAACCAATCAGAGTATTTTACTCCTGACTCACATGACCACAGCACGTCTAACGGAACTAACTTGTGTGCAGTGAAAAAAAGTTTGGCAGGCCTGAACATAAAGCAGGATACAGATGCAAACTCGGGGTCAGAAACCAAAAGCGAAGGTTTAAATTCAGATCAGGACATTCAGAGTGATGAAATCAAAGCACTCACTAATGGGTATGAGCAGTCAAACTGTCTTGATAACCACTCTGACCATGACAACCAGATTCAAAATGAAGAAAATAAACTGGACGCTAACAATCATGTGACCAATAAAAATGGCAAATTCCAAGGAGAAACAGAGGAAGAGGCAAGAACAAAGAGCAAGCAAGTCGAAGGGAGACTCGAGGAGAAATATGAACCCACAAACACCCCCTCACCACATGAGACCCTAGCAGACACCTCTCTAGTGCCCTCAGTATTATACCAGCATAGAGTCAGAGGTTTGGTCTTGGCCCTGCTGGTAGAGCCAGAGTTCAACACAGACCCCACAGCCAGAGAGGAAGTGGTGAGAAACATGAGTTTGTGTCTGTTTGAAATAATTTGTACATATCAAAGGAATAGTTCACCCAAAAATGAGAATTTGCTGAAAATTTACTCACCCTCAGGCCATCCAATGTGTAGATTAGTTTGTTTCTTCTTCAGAACAGATTTGGAGAAATTTACCAATTCACCAATAGATCCTTTGCAGTGAATTGGTGCCGTCAGAATGAAAGTCCCAACAGCTGATCAAAACATCACAATAATTCACAAGTAATCCACACATCTCCAGTCCATCAAATTAACGACTTGGCAAATTCATCAAGGCTTTTTTTTTTTCATTTTAACCCCGTCACTTCTGGCAAAAATACCATAATCCATAATAACAACTCCTCCAGTGAAAAAGTCCATCCTATGTTGTTCTCTCACATCAAAATCCTGACATGTTTGTTTAGTAAAACTGTAAACTGTTTTCGCTTGTAAACAGTGCTTGATCTGTGCATATTTCTCACCTGATTCAGATGAGACGACTTTTTCATTGGAGAAAACAATAATATGGACAGAGGACTCATATTTTAACCAGAAGCAATGGTTTGAAGTTATAAATGCCTAAATGATGGATTTGATTCTTATAAACATGCAGCTTTTCACTTCACAAGACATTAATTGATGGACTGGAGTGGTGTGGATTATTATGATGTTTTTATCAACTCTTTGGCCTCTTATTCTGACGGCACCCATTCACTGCAGAGGATCCAACAAATTCATCTACATCTTGGATGGCCTAAGGGTGAGTAAATATTAAGCAAATTTTCATTTTTGGGTGAACTGTTATTTTAAATGAGTGAATTTTACTGAGTGTGTGAATCCCCAATATTTTGAGCTTTGGGGTCAGTAAGATTTTTTAAAATAAATTTTATTTAGAACATTTTTACTGTATTTTTGATGCAATAAATGCAGCCTTAGTGAACATAAAACTTTCAAAAACATTTAAAATAATAATTACAGACCCCAAAAGCTGTCTCTTCTGTTATAAAATTATTCTCTACTACAATTGCAGCATCACAGCAGCTTGGCATCACTAAATGGGCTTGAGGCTCACCTGAGAAATACCTCGCCTGGGACACCCGGCCCACCGGGGCCCTACACCTTTGCCCACTATGACTGCATTCAAAACACTCTCACTAGTAAGTCCTGTTTCATGTATATATAAACATCATATAGAATCTTATTCAATTCAGTCAAAATGGTGACAGTCACAAATGATTGTGTATTTTATGTGTGTTCTTGAAATAGTTTGTGACTTTTAATTTGTTTTGTAGCTAATGTATGTGGGCGCTCCGCTGGACCCCAGGAAGCCTTTGTTAGGGCCACTAAGCTGCTCCATTCACATTTCTCACACTTAGACACACTACAGGAGGCCATTGTCAGGTTAGGGTGTGTTTTTGAATGCCTGTTTTGTCATTTTCATCTTTTAAGGTGTATTTTGACAATGTTTTTTCTTTGATTAATTTGTGTTATTATCTCTGTATGTGAACAGTTCAAACATTAGTGTTAAATAATTTAAGCACATTTCAGTTATGTAAGCGTTGTGTTTATGTCATGAATTACAGGAACGGTAGCTCGGCAGTGTATGGAACCCGTAGCACGGCCCAGGAGACATATTTTCTCCAGCAGGGAACACCTGTCAGAAACTCTGGAAGTCCTGATCCTCAGGATAGTGCCTTCTCACTGCCCAGAAAAGCCCGTCAGCGGCTCCTTAAACATGGAGTTAACCTGCTTTAGCTGGGCTTTTTTAAAAGATTTCAGTTTCTCTCAGATCTCTTTTATTTCATAGATATCTACCATATTTATACTATATATGTCTCTCTTGTACTGCTCAGAATGTAATGCATGCTTTTGTTTATATAGGCTGCTGTTTGTTCATTTTGTAATTAAAAGTAGAGGCTGAAAATTAAAATGTACTGTCATCCCAATAATACTAAAATATAGAGGAAGTGTCTCCGTGATGAGAGACGGGTTCTGCTGTAGCCCTTTGCTGTTTAAATGGAATAGAGAACTGAGGCTTTAAAAAATGGCTTAGACCATTCAGTGTTACTGTTAGATGTGTAGCTGTTGAAATTTTCACCTTTTTTAAATGGAACAAAACTGTGCTTGAGTGTTAATAAATGTGCTTTAATAAACCTGTTTGAGATTCTGTCAGGAAGGTTTAGATCCGTTAAATAATTGGCAGATGCAGAAGTATTTAGAGAGTGGCACAAAATGTATTTGAGTAACTTGGGTAACATACTTCATACATCCAGTAAAAATCACACTGAAACTACCTGGTTAAATTAACTTCAAAAGTGAAGTTAATTGTGAGAAAGCTATTTGGTTTGATTGTTTGTTATCTATGTAATTAAATTCATACATTTGTGTTAGTATGAATTACAAAGTGTAGCTTAACTGTCTACTTAGGGCCAGTGTATGTGCACCCAGATGAATGGTTTCTATATCCCAGATTACCTCTCTGTTGGTTGTGGAGCTATTGTGAGGATCGGACAGTTTGGGAAAGTTTTATGCTTCCCTTGGTCCACGTTGTTTCTCTTGCAAATGAGCAGCTCGTTGGTGATGGTGCAGATGTTCTGTAATGAGGGTCATTAGGAGTGAGAATAAGAATGGACTGGACTGGCAGGGGTCTGGGCGCCTCATTATGCAGACCCATTTAAAAGTCGACGGGGGTGCGAATGGCTGCTTAAGGGTCCCAAACAAAACCAGGGGGAGGAGAGTCGAAAGAAGCCAGAATTCAAATTCCACAGAAGAAACTGAGCTTATTGTCAGAGCAGGAAGATTTACCTTATTCGTATCGTGGAGAGCCCGAGTCAAGCATCTCCGGAGCGCAATATATGTGGATACTTGAAATGGCCATGGTTACGCGGGCACGAGTTTCACTGCTGGTCCTCGCTTTCATGACTATTGCTATAGGAGTACAGTGCCGATCGCTTCGTACACAACTTCGCAAGGTGACTTCGTTTCAAGGAGAGCGTAAAATCCGTATTGGACACGTCCAGAAACGGAGCCGTCGCGAACCAGGATCCGAGCACGACCAGTGCGCCCTTCTGAGCGCACCGTGGACGGAGAGCACCACTCCGCTTGGTGACTGGGGCCAGATGTACCGTCTGAAGATATTATCGACGATGAGTGATGGTCCACGTCGTGCTGTTTTCCCAGAACAACCCCTCTTCAGATTCGTTAGACGGGTTTATCGCTGTTGTCAAATGGGCTACCACTGTGGAAGTGTCAAGGGAATACAAGGCGGAAAAGTTGGAGGTAAGTAGCTCTCTTTTCCGACACCTTGTTGAAAATCTGATGCTGGTCCTCAACATGGGATGCTGGTGTTCCCACCAGGCTTAGCTAGCAAGACTTTCTGTCAACTAGCTTTACCAGCTACAATTTTGCTGATAAACCGTAAATTTAATTAGGGTAATTAAGTCTTAAAGCATCCAAGAGAACTAAAAATATTAGGCTGTGGTTATAAATTAAAACAGTTATTCAAATTAGTAATCTACGCTTTCAAGGTTCCAACAGAAGTAGCGTTGAAGTAACCATAGCAACAGTAGCGCCCGAGCGAATTTATTTTGTGGCAAAATAAATAAATAATTAAAAAACACTGTTAAAACCAAACTATGCTGGTTGGTTGGACTTAGCAGGTTTAAGCTGGCCAAGCTGGTCTCCGAGCCTGGTAAAGCTAGTGTTCAGCTGGTTTTAGCTGGTTGGTCAGCTGGTCTCCCAGTCTGATCATCTAAATGTGGTCAAACCCCCCCCAAAACTAGCCTGCAAACCAGCTACGAGCAGGCTGGAAGACCAGATAAAACCAGCCAACCAGCTTAGTCTGGTTTCAGCTGTCCCAAAAGTACTGTAATTAAAACTTTTAGCATGCAATATCACACATATATTTAAAAACTATATGAATAGTGTTGTGTTCAATATATATTTATAGGCAGGGATGTTAAAAGACAAAGAGGAACCTCAACAGACTGCAACTGCAAAATGTTCTGTCAAAAATGTATTTGCAAAACTAGACCAGCACCAAAACCACCATAAACCTAAATCATGACCCTGGTAATAAGTTATTTTTTTTAGCAGGGTAAAACAATTTTACAGTAGGTATATTTACTATGTGACAACAGTGCCCCTAATGTGTCTTTTTCTTACTTGTCAAGACTACAACATTGAGTTTCTGCTCAGCGAGGATGTGCTGTCACCACCATTGGAGAAAGCAGAAGTTCATTTTCACTTTTCAAACCCCCAACACCTCACCATCCAACCCGTGCTGCCCTCACTGGAGAAACGAGGGTTCCCTACTAGGTGAGACACGGGAACTTGATAGATGAAGTGAAAATGTTGTTAGCACAGTTCACTCCAAGGAATAGCTTAACTGAACTGCAAATAAAGTCATCACTATTTTCTCTTTCTCTCTGCAGGTACAGTGTCTGGTTGAGAGATGGTGTCGTGGAGCTGAGAGTAGATCTGCTTGCCCTCTTCCAGGCCCTGCAGCTGGTCATCGGAGGAGCCAGTAGAGGTCCAAGCCTGATGGAAATGCATCGGGTGAGGGGCTTGTCGAGACCAGGGGTCGTTGTCCAAAAGCAAAGACCCCCATCCCTTCAAGACACAGAGCCTGTAGTGTGGGGGGAGGTGAATGTGGGCAGGGAGGGAGCGGCCCCCCTACAGCCCACTTTAGAGCTGGGACTGGCATTACACTGCAGCTTATTGGACAATATTGCACAGCCCTGTCAAAATTATGGTGTACATCTAGAACATGCACCCTTCATCGCTCTGACGTACAGATAGCAAGACACATGCAGCAGTATCGAACAGTGTTTTAGCAAATACATTTTGAAACTGCTTCTGTGTCCAGCCAAACACCGTCAATCCCTAGCGCTCCCCCTTCACAAGTTCTTTGTGGCCATAAAATCTCCATCCATTCAGTCCACTAACACCTGGTGTGAATGTTCCCTGGATGGTTCACTATTTTTAAAGAATTGCTAATGATTCTCATTGTTCTGTGACAATGGTGCTTCAGTAGAAGCTTAGTGTAATTCAGAGTGGCCGATGTTATATGGAACACTATGCACTTCAGGATGTAAATTGAATTTATTAACTTATGGGTGTTTTTTTGTGAGAAAAAGGTATCACTGTGTAAATGTAAATAGTGTATAATTACAGGTCTATATATTAAATTCTTTTTAGCATTGTATATGCAATGGTTTGTTTCTCTGTTTCTGTGGCCAGTGTATTGTTTCTTCTCAATTATTTGAGACATTTTGTGTCAATAAGGTGTTTTTAATAAATTCAATATAAATTTGAAAGGCCTCACATACTGAACATAAAGAATTTGGTCATTTTCAGGGTTCATTGATAACTTAAGAGAAAAAAAATGTTTCGGATCGTAATTTTGATTAGTCTGTTGAGCATCCAATGCTAGTCAAGTACTCCAATATAAACATTAGGTCATGCAATGTACAAAATTTACCAAATCATGTTTACACATGTTAGGAACTTCACTACTGTTCAGAATTTTGTAGTAAAAACTTTCCATTCATCAATGAATCCTAAAAATGCATCACAGTTTTCACACACAAAAAAAAGAAGCAATTTTCAACATTGATGAGATATTTCTTGAGCAGGAAATCAGCATACTAGAAATATCTTTGCTTTAATTATATGAGTTAATGACTTGAGTTGCTGTTTTTTTTGTTTGTTTAGATATATTTTCCTCCATTTCCAGTTGTACAGTGCAGGTGTACTGCACTTTTACAGATAATGTTAGTACAGGTCATAGCATAGTCTAAGAAACAGCGACATTACCTTTGTAAGTTTACTGCAGAAAGTGATCAAAATTTGAAAGGCCTCACATACTGAACATAAAGAATTTGGTCATTTTCAGGGTTCATTGATAACTTAAGAGAAAAAAAATGTTTCGGATCGTAATTTTGATTAGTCTGTTGAGCATCCAATGCTAGTCAAGTACTCCAATATAAACATTAGGTCATGCAATGTACTGCACTTTTACAGATAATGTTAGTACAGGTCATAGCATAGTCTAAGAAACAGCGACATTACCTTTGTAAGTTTACTGCAGTTGTAAAGTGATCATATGGTAATATTTTATGGAACTGTATACTCAAGTTTTAAAAAAGAAACCACACAATAGAGTTTTATAGCAGCCTTGTCTCATTTCTAAAATGTCCCATTTTGTGATTAGTTATGCATTTTTAACTTTAATTTTGAGATATGAACTCCCTTGAACACTTCAAATAAAAAAAAATATAAACATTTAATTTGTTCACTTATAACAGTAGAAATGAACCACATTTTCATCACAAGCAAAATCATTTCCTCTACATCACATATCACCATTCATTCTGGTGGAAATGACATTTACTCATGATAAACAAACATTTATAAAATAGCTGATTCTTTCTCAAACTTTTTCGCTCTATGTCACCCAGCTGTTCAAAGCCCACAGCATTTTATTTTATTAATTTACATTACATTTTCAGGTCTAGAAATCTTTAAAATCACTTTACAAAATGTGATTTTTACACAATGTGATTTTTACAAATTAACTGTAATAAAAATGACATTACATTTAAATGTTTATAATTTTAAGTCACTTTTAGTCCCCCTTGTGGGCCCCGGCCCCCTTGTTGTTATCCACTAGCATATATTTTATTTTCAATAAATTTTTTTGAAAAATACAACACAGTTTTAAAAATACAACAATATTTTTATGATAGATTTTCATAGTTCAAAATTTAATGTCTGAGCCTGGAACATGGATAAAACAACTGTTTCGTAAAAAAGACAAACAAGTGCGAGTGTTAAATGTGTTTGTAGTGTTCATTTTTACTGAATAGCTAGACTCTACACTTTGCCCTCAACACAGGCCGAGGCTAAAGTTCACCAAGAGAGAGGGAGAGAGAGAGAGAGCGACAGAGGAAGGGAGGAGGGGATGAAGGAAAAGCAAGTAGCAAAAAAAAATCACATTTCAAAGCAAAAGGACAACAGGTATCTAGACTTAATACAGGAGCAAAAGAACACTGGAAAACAAAGAGAAGAAAAGGATAAAGAAAATGAAAAGAAGCTGTTTATGTGAAAGACAGACTACTGAACTCAAAGCCTGAGACAGAGGTGAATACTGAACGTGTGCGATATTGTTTTGGTGTGTGTGTACGTCTGTTTGCACACAAAGAGTGTGTTGGTAATTGCTTCAGTGACACGGACAAAGCTTCTGTGAGCAAAATATAGAAAAAAAACGGCCACTTAAACGTGAGAGATGGAGGGAGGAGAGGGGAGGAGAGCAGGAGAAGAACGAAGCAGCCGGCTGTCGGCCTTACAGGAGCAGCTGGTGTGGTCTCTGCTGGGATCAGGGCTGTCAAAAGAGCTGCTGATCCAGGCCATGGGAGATCTGGAGCGGGAACGGGCCTTGGCCGGTGCCGAGAGGATGGACCGGGCCGATGGCGAGAGCTCGGAGGAGGGAGACATGGACAATCCACCTCTTATATTCCGTGAGCTGGAGAGGCTGCCGCCGGAGGAGGCCGCGAGGCAGAGGGCTGAAGTTGACCAGCTGTTACAGTAAGTCTCCTGGTGTCTTCTGATCAATCAATCCAAACTCCATTCAAAATGCACATTCTGAACTATCTATTATGACTTTAGTGCCTCGAATGTTGTTCTTCTAAAGAAACATCATCTAAAGTCTGCTTCTCAACTTCATATTTTACTCCACAAATTCTTGATTAAACCTTCTTCTTTTCTCTAGCTCATCTCAGGTCTTCTCTCTTCTAGTCCTTTCATTTGCTTCCTCTCTTCTCTAGTGTTCTGCTTCCCAACGGATGGGATGAATATAAAGGAGGTTCCACCTTTTTTAGTTACTAATTACCCACCCTATTCATTATTCTCTGGCCATTTCAAACGTTTTAATAAATGAGCTACATCGACTGGTTAAAATTAACAGAGTGACATGTCCATCGCTCAGTGTGTGTGTTTGTGTACACATGACTGTGGTGATATTGTAAAGATAGTGCTGTTGTGAGGGGAGGTTTGTTTTCTAAGTGTGTGGATCTTTGAACACAGATATAAATGGACTTGTAATACACTTTATTTAAACATCAAAGGGAATTTGTGAGTGATTTGTATAGGTAAAATGCATTGCTTTTGGATATGTTTGTGTGTTAGTAAAGCTTTGTGTGTTTGTGTTCACGAGGGTTATTTGCAATCTCTTTTACTGGACTTTGGCCCCTTGTCTCTTGCCTTATCTTACAGTGTAAACATTGCACCCTTTCTACCTCTGTATTATCTATCCTTCCTCTTCCCCTCACCCTTCTCCCAAAGCATTTTTGTTAAAAAAAAATGGTCTTAATAAAAAGTTTTTTTTACTTAATCAAGATGTGATTTTTTTCTTCTTCAATATGTTAAAAATAAATTGTACAATTTCTGAATATGTTGTAATTTTAGGAAACAGTGCCATAAGTATACTATGTGTGTTTACTGATATAATTAACATAATAATGGTCTGTCACACAACACGTTTATCTCTAACATGGAATATATGTTTTGTCTCTTACTTAGAATATATATTTTTGTAATAAGTAATAATGTATTCATATATTTTTTTCTTTCCAATATCAGCCACTTTGCAGCCTGTCTGTCACAGTTACATTTTAAAGGGTTTATGTATTAAAAACTGAATTCTAATTGAAATTAAATTGTTATGCTTATATCAAAGACATTTTTCTGTTCCCGACATCATACTTAACTTAATTATCAGTATTCATTATGTTTATTGAGCATTTTATTATTACTATTTAAAATAACTGCTTTCTATTTCAATATATTTTTTCAAATGTAAATTATTTCTGTATTGCAAATCATTACCCCAGTCTTCATTCTAATATGCTGATTTGCTGCTCAAGAAACATTTCCTATTATAACCAATGTTATGTTTTTGTGGAATCCCTTTTTTCCTAGATTTTTAATTAATAGAAAGTTCAGAAGATCAACATTTTTTTTAAATATTCATCTTTGCAACATTATAAATATCTTTACCATCAAGTTTGATCAATTTAATGCATCCTTGCTGAAAGGGTTAGTTCACCCAAAAATGCCCCAAAAATTCTGTCATTAATTACTCACCCTCATGTCGTTTCAAACCCGTAAAACCTTCGTTCATCTTCGGAACACAAATTAAGATATTTTTGATGGAATCTGACACAGAACAGCATACGAACATTTACGTCCAGCAGATATGCTCCAAAATGGCACCAGGGTGATGCGGAGGAGATGAATTGTTGAATAAAGTCGTTATTTTTTTTTCTTTTGCGCACAAAAAGTATTCTTGTAGCTTCGTATAATTGCGGATGAACCACTGATGTCACATGGATTATTTTACAGATCTCCTTGCTACGTTTCTGGACTTGGGAACATTTCAGTTGCGTTGCTGTCTATGCAGGGTCAGACAGCTCTCAGATTCCATCAAAAATATCTTAATTTGTGTTCCGAAGATGAACGAAGGTTTTACGGGTTTGAAACGACATGAGGGTGAGTAATTAATGACAGAATTTTCATTTTTGGGTGAACTAACCCTTTAATGTGTTGGTGTGTGTTAGAGAGGATCCTTGGCATGTGGCTAAAATGATGAAGACCTACATGCAGCAGCACAACCTACCACAGAGAGAGGTGGTGGAGTCCACCGGCCTCAACCAATCCCATCTCTCCCAGCACCTCAACAAGGGCACACCCATGAAGAATCAAAAGCGTGCCGTTCTGTACAGCTGGTACGTCAAGAAACAGGCAGAGATCAACCAGCGTGAGTATGACCATTTCTTATTTCTCTTACATAAAATTCTGTTTTAATGCATCTTTAAGAATTACACAATTAGAATGAACGATTCTCACACCCTGATCAATGCAGAGTTCACCAATGCCAGTCGAGGTGTCATGTCAGGAGAGGAATCCGGGGATGATGTGAGAAAGGGACGAAGGAATCGATTCAAATGGGGCCCAGCGTCCCAACAAATCCTGTTCCAGGCCTATGAACGACAGAAAAACCCCAGTAAGGAGGAAAGGGAGGGACTGGTGGAGGAGTGCAACAGGTAACGAGTGATGTGGTTACCATAACCCAAAATGTAGGTGCGACGTGGGTAATAACTGTTGCATGTATATGTGTTTTAGAGCGGAGTGTCTTCAGAGGGGAGTTTCTCCATCTCAGCTGGCTGGCCTGGGTTCTAATTTGGTCACAGAGGTTCGTGTATATAATTGGTTCGCAAATCGGCGTAAAGAAGAGGCATTTCGCCACAAACTGGCACTGGACGTGCCCTACAGCAGCCAATCAGCTCCCTTGACAGGTCAGA